GAACAACTACCTTAATAATCGATATACTCTTTTCCTGATAAAATCCGTTAAGAAAGTTCGACCATAAACGCCGTAGTTAACTCCGCGGAATCATCATACTACCGCTGGTTTACTCGAGCACTCGAGAATACTTAACTATGATTAGACCCTAATTTTCCAAGGTATTAAGCAGCGGCACCAAAGCCTTCGATATAATTCGGCTAATCACCGTAACCGATATTATCAGTCGGTAGCAGATGTTGAATACCGGCAAGAAAACGGGTAGAAGTTAAGGTAGACCCTAATGAAGAAGGGTATCACTATTTCGCGGTGAAAGCGGCGCGGATGAAACTCGTTCGGCGCGGCCGCGCTCGACAAAAACTTTCCCTTCGAACTCTTAATCGCCCGTCATAACTACGGTTACGTAATCCCGCGGGATTATTTTCCCCGAGTCAGGCAAAAAGATCGCACGTCAAAAAACCGTCGTAACGAAGATTTCGCGATGACGCGGCTAAAGATTGGTTAACGTGAAAAATATTTCGCACGATAATGTCGCTTCTTATTCCTTCAGTTAACGTTAGTATCAGACTTAGAGCATACACAGGGTGTCCCAGAACTAATACTACGCCCGAAAATGAGGAGGAGCTGAGGCGATTTTAAACAACTTTCTCCTTTGCGAAAAAGTTGTCCGAGGCATGGTTATTGAGTTGTTTAAAATCACCTCAGCTCCTCCGCATTTTCGGGCGTCGTATTAGTTCTGGGACACCCTGTATGTATATCCAATAGAGCAAACCCATTCACTAAATAATATGAAAATCATAAAAGAATATAATACGTAAATATTACTTGTTACCACACAAAATTTGAATATTATTGAAGTACTTAATGAGTAATAAAATAATTAACGCTAAGTACTTTATAACTAATAAAATACTTCAAGCAAAACAGGCTTGGCGCTTAACGTGTTAAAATTAGTACGCTCGAACTCCACAAATTAAAACGAAAAACTAATATTGAAAGTTGAAATTTCATACTTTCTATGACTGCAAAAAATATGCAGAGTGTCCCGGCATTGATGGTACAACCGTAAAGGGGGAAGAGATTGGATATGAGAAAAAAAGTTGCAAGAATACAATAAATTTTCTTCCACTTGAGGCTTTGCGTTCAATAAAATATTTCCTACGTAACTGCTTTAATTTGTTAAAAAAAAAACGATGATTTTATTATATAAATTATATTGAGTTAAAATTTTGAAAATTCTCAGCACGTTCAATTGCCTTCAGAATTTTAATAGAACGAAATTGCAGAAAAATCCGCGTATCTACAACGGAATATTCCGATCACCCTTTTCTCTCTGGGTAAACTATTATGAGGGAGGGTATCTTCAGTTCAGACCGTTAAAATTTCATAAACCGGGCCCGCCTGCTACGCTGGCAAACTCGCTGCACTTTAATATCCTGACGAGAAGTATATTTCTGCAGCAGCGTAGCAGCGGCCAGTTCCGGCCTTCTTACGTTGTTACGCGTTATACAAATTTAATAAAACGTCGCGTTTGAAAAAGAAACGAAACGGATAGGAAAGTACCGGCCGCGCGCCCGGCGGACTCTTGTTCCCGTCGCTGTTGCGTTCCCACCCGCCCCGTCTACCGTCGCGTTATCATCGATCTCTTAGCCCCTGGATTTCTTTGCGTTACAAATTACCCTGAGAGCCCGATACTTTAGCTTCCTTCCGGCGCTGATTGATAGCGGATCCCGATGCAAAGAATTGCAAAGATAACGCTGTTTACAGCGGACAACGATGCTCTAAATTTTGGGTTAAAACCCGTGCTGCCCTAGCCGACGAATGCCCATCGATTATACCGTGCGACCTCGCAGAATTTTCTTCCCATTTTTTTCCCAGTTTTATAGTCGCAGAATTTTTCACGTACTTTCGAAACACGATTTGCCAGCTTAATGCGAGATACTAAAAACCGATGATTGTATAAAAATCCGATGTCCCCAGGTCTAACTTAATCGATATAAAAATTCTCGGTATATAAATGCGTAATTATAATTTTAGAACACGAATGTCACAGTTGGATACGATCTGTTTTACAGACGCATGGCCATCGAGAGATGCATTATTCGCAATGGATTTGTTGTTACTAATGTACGCCTCGAACAGTGAAATAAAAAAGAAACAACGAAACACGGAGGAGGCATCGTTCGGTCGTTTCAATGGATTGCGTTCGATCGACGTAGTACCTACCAGGGAACCTTTTCGCAAGAGTAACGACGCGATCGTTTCATTGCCGGGACACTTTTGTTCCGCGGGTACAAAGTAATCGCACAATATTTACGTGATCTGGGTGCAACGGCAAGGAACATTAATTATAATTACTGGGTTACGGGTGGGTAATGGCAATATTCTCTAATTATGGTAAATATTAATTATGCATTTGATCCTCGCGAGGCGAGTATTGTTCGACTCGACTGTAATTACATATTGATGTTCGAGGTACAGGAATTGTTTGATAAATTCGCAAACCTGATCTTTTCCACAATTTCCAACCGACTTGTTTTACGGGCGAACAAAGGAGGTACTACGGAATGAACTTTCTGAACAGCTTCCAAAGGTACACAAGTCTCGTTTAAAGGCTAATTAATTTCGTTCCTTTTCCTGGCACATATTCTATAATATTAATGGAAGGAGCAAATGTTCGATAATGATAAATTTATATTTGTATTTTTATTTAAGTATGCATATTAGATCTTTTATGTATATGTACATTCAGATGAGTATTAATTAACATGAGTAAATAATATTAACTAATATAGAGAAACTCATTAAGGCTGTGGTATCGATCATTACACGATTCGACGTTAATTACGTACTTTCTTTCATCAAATTAAAATGCAATTTAATGAATCATGACTACCGATTAATCAAGATGCAAATTAGTGATGTGTTTACCATTCAAATATTACGCATTACAACAAACCGGCTTCGGGTGAAAACAGAGCAAAAGGGAAAGTAATGAAAACGGCGTGTGAAAACGAGAGAGAGTGTCTCCTCTACGAGACGCTAAATATCCGGCTAGTCCTTTTTGCCAAGTAATGCGTTTTTGTCGCGTGGACAGAATGAACCGCATACCAGAACGGTCGGGCTTCAACGACTTTTATTTATTCCGCGTTAATTAAAAAATTTCACCGGCGCAGCGTGCCGCATTCTGGTGGACGAGTAACGTGAGTACCTACCCGTGGTAAAATATGCAAAAAACATTTGTCGGTCCAATAAACAGATGTAAAGTAAACTTTCCCGTATTTGTTTCGTTACCGCGTCCATTTTTAATTTGTACCTTCCGTTTATTTTTCTATTTTTCTTAAGCATCAGGTATCATAGATTAGTGTAGCGCATAGCATAAAACTTCTCAGAATTTATGTATTAGATTCTGTTTTTGTAAATGAAAATAAATAAAGAAGCTTGGCTACAAATTATTATAATAAAACCACTTGTTCAATAATGAATATTTTTTATGTAGATGTCAATGTATCACCTTATTCATTGAAATCTGGCAGGAACACGTTGTTTTCTTATGTGCAGTAGTGTATATTGAAAAGAAGAGAGCAGCCCTCAAAATTAAGGAAACTAATTTTTTATCTCGAGGACTACAAGGAATATACAGACGAAACTCAGATTTCAACTGACGAAATTTGCATTTCCAAACGACAAATGTGAATTATTTTATGTGGAGCTTGTATAAATAGTATATTAAAATATATGACTTTTATGTTAATTTTTCAGATTGAGTGCTGATACACTTTCTTTAAATATATGACTACTATGTATATGACCGTATGTAAATTACAGACAAACCAATCTTCTATTATATCTAATAACTGTTCAAATATGGATGCTTCGCCATTGTTATTCAAGGGCTCATACAACCTTAACAGATTGATTAGCGAAACTGAAATTGTAGGCTGCTTTCATCTCCCCGACATGCACCATTGCAAATCAAAAACAAATGTTAAATATTTTTAGAAGGACCTCTGGCGAACGTCAAAATCGGCGAGAGACACTTAGCCACGTTCCTTCGTAAGTAGTGTTCTCACCACTTGACGACGTACGCGAACTCCATACTACATACATAGAACGAATTATACAGAATAGGAATTTGGAAGTTTGGAGTAGTCGCGCAACATCAGCTAAAGTAACCACTCGCCCTCCATAAAACGGGGGCGATGGTATAAAGAGGGTAGCGAAGTCCGAGTTAATACACGCTTCATCAATGCCGATGAAGAGGGTCGAAGGTAGTACTTTCGCGAGAAACGACACTCAACCCATTCGCCAGCCCCTTAAATCCAATTTTTCTCACCCCTCGTTACGCGACGCGACGCGACCGTCCCTCCTTCCAATTCGACGCCGCACTGTTCCATTTTCGACTCCTCTACCCTCCACCGGAAATCGATATCGACACGTACCGGCCACTTTCGCGGTCGCTTCGATCTCATTTACAAATGGACCGGTCATCTCGCGCCAGATTTCTGTAATATACTTAACCGGGCATTGTAGTCTCTTGCCCCCCAAGCGAACCGTTGACTCTATTACGCGACAACTCGACCGAATCCAACTGGCAAATGCGATGTCGTTAACAGTGCCCGCGGATCGGCCAATTTCAGCTGTAAATCGCAACGCTCCGACTGAATAAGATCGCGCGATTCCTTTTAACGGGCGTATCGATATTTTATCACGTTCAACAATGACTCATTTATAAAGAGATTATAACGGATAAATGTGGCAGCGTAATTTATTTACATCTGCAAACGCAATTCTTATTGCTGTCAAAAGTTTGAAACCAACTTTGAAACAAACAAAAAGGTTCACTTAAGATATAACTTTAGCAGAAACATTAATTATGATTTATTTCACTGCGATTAAAGTCAAATTTATATTTATAATAATTAAAATTTGAATCGCAAAGTAATATTACGTTAAGTGACGAAGCTACGACCAGTAAAAAACAAATAAAATGTACTCACCAACTCGAAGCGGACGTCTTTAATCCTCTATTGCATCTTAGAAACGAGCCTGGGTATCTGGAAACAAAAATAGCATAGTTCAATTTCTTCTGATGCAAAATCACGAGTCAAAATAGTTTATCAATGAACCGATTATAAATATCCAATTATCATAATCGTAGATAAAGTGTTTGTCGCGACGTGGTGATTAAAACGGCGCGCCGTTTGTAATTGCACGACGATGGGCGGCTCACCAATAATGTGATTGACGGTGACGCGGTTGCTAATTTCCGTGAACGACGCGAAATTCCCAGCGACTGTTACGGGCATCGATGTTAATTCGCTTGAACGACACGCCAATCGACGCGTTAACGCCCGATAGCCACTCCGTGTTGTTTTCTAGCCTCTGGGCAACTTTCCCAGGCCTCAATAGAAGCACGTAGACGTTCAATAGTAAGCATGCAAATTTTAATAATGACAAACCGCTTCCGCACTCGACATTTCTGTGCCACAGTGTTTTCTTCTTTAATATAATTATAGTAAATTGTCTAATTTCTATTCAAGTCACAATTTCTAATCACTGGCTTTCTCCTCTGATGTAATCTTAGGTCAGTGAATAGAAATTCTAACGTAAAATGAAATTGCGACATTTACTAGATTATTTAGAAACAATGCACTATTATTATCAAAGATCAATTAGAATAATTTGATTAGAAAACCAAATTCTATTTTCGAAATTCTAATGCGTTTTCCCGAGGTTTAGAATTACTCCAGGAGAAATCTGTTCTTGGTGATTTCAAAGTTTCTCAGACCTCAAGAAAAGCATATAAACGTTCAACAATAGGCATGCACATTTTAACAATGAGAAATCACTCCTCAACTCGAACACAATGTTTCCTTTTTTCATACAACAATTATTTGAAAAGCATTTTATGAAATAAATACAATTTACAAAAGTAAACAATGCAATAGAATTATGAATAGACTTTAGATCTCATGCATTTATAAGAAAGCTGAATGCGCGGAAAATATAAACACTGCATGAAATGCATAAGAATATAGAAAGTATCAGTAGAAGAATGCACATTGCAAAAAGAAAACCATTGTTTAAACTGGTGCCAGAAATATTTCATTTTGCAAGAAAATCCGCAATCTAATTTTAAAGAAAGAATTAGAAAACCAAATTCGATTTTTAAATCCCTAACGTACGTTTCCGCGAAATTTAGGATTGCGATCCATGAGAAATCTGTTTTTGGTGATCTTGAGAAATGAGGTTGCAGCTTGCCAACTGGATCAGCCATAATGTAGTTACGTGCGACGGGTCATAGATACATGGGGTACGATAGGACTGGTTAAAATTTCATGAAGTTCAAGTCGAGACGTTGTGGTCCCGGCGCGGCGCGGTGACGTGAAGCGGATGAGGTTACGATACGTCGATCTCCATTGAACAGAGCGATCCAAATCCGAGGAAAGCCTGAGCGAACTTCTCTACAAGCCAGTCTCGTTCACGCGGCAAACTAATAATTCCTTTAAGCGGCACGAAATCGGACACAGAGCAGCCCGTATACGTTACGAATTTCATACCAACTTTCCTTCGCTGTTCCTCCGCGGAAAAACATCCGTACCGTGCGATTGCATAGTTCTTCTCCATGGCTGCTATATCCAGAGGCAATAACACGATATTATTGTTAGCGCCGCGCGTAGTTGCCTTTTTTTACCGTCCGGTAAATCGCTATAGTTCCCTTTTTATCACGCTTCCCACGCGATCGTTTTGCCTGATCGTTCAATAAACTGCGACAATACGTCGCCGGCAAGAATATGAAATATTTTTATCGTCAATCTTACTCTGAGAAGTGTAACAATTTTATTCCCGTAGGAACATTTCACAACCGACTTTAAAGCCTTTTCAAAGATGATTAGAAACATTTACTACTTGTCTATCTATTAGGTAATACAATTTGCATTCTGCTCGATCAAATCCACTTTAGATGAATGAAATCGAATCCACAATTTTTAAACACCTTTGCCAAAAAAGAAAAATAGTACTTACATTTTTTTTACAAAATCAGAACATTTTGTTTTTTAAATACGTGATGGCAATTACAATTTTTAAATTATGCATGTGCTCGTAAAAAGTATCCACATTTATAGATTGTTTGATTTCTATTTGATAAATGTCTCAGAAAATATTTTCAGGATTGATGCGAATAATAATCGACGGTATTTCTTACTACGTACAATAATTCTATTCACAAGTGTACAGACTTAATTAATTACCGAAGCCCGGAGTTCTCAACATTCTCAATCACCCACTTGCCTCCATCTGTCCTCCACCTGTCTTCACTTCTCGTACGATTAAATTTATATAAGAAGAAACTGAACAAGTTCAATTGTTTCCCCCTTGACACTTCACAACTTTAGTATAAAAACATTTTCAAAAAAAGATTCATCTGTTCTCCACACTGTAACTCATCCTTTGCCAGATACAATTTCGAAGCTATGTATATTTCAAGAGAATATAATAAAAAATCGACTCCTTCAGAGTTTAAATCGTAAACAGCCCCTTAAGACGAAGTCTGTCGATGAGGGGACAGAAATTGATAGCTAAAGAGAGACAACCATGTATCATGTCAAGAGAAGCCGACGAACATTAATAACGATAATCGAACGTCGTATATGAAAGTCAGTCGCAAGTATTTGGCCAAAGTCCTTCTGGTTTCGATTCGATCGAAATTACTTCCGGGACGCGCACGTGCGCGTATTGACTGGCCTGAAGATGTCTTGATAGGGCGGCACGTGTTTGAACGAGCTCAGCCTCGCGATATCTGTCGCGCCGGTTACTTGAATGCGCTTCTCGTGCCTTTGACTGGACACCGGACTCTCGCTGTATGCAATGGACGCTAAATTGTGTTCGCAACTGAGTCGTGTGAGACTGGCACTAAACTAGATTTAGTCAGCAGGATTATTTATTGCGAGCCACGAAAGCTCATGTACGTGGGACAAATTGATATCGTGCATGTTTCAATAATGTTATACTATGCTAAAATGTGGCGAAGGATCTTATTGAAGATTGATTTCATCAGATTCTCCAAATTTGATGCAAATTCTATATAAAATATGTGGGAGTGCAAAACGTCGAAGGTTTATATTCATGATAAGGCTACCTCTTATACATTTAGTGGCTTGCATGAATTCTGATGTGATGCAACGTCTTGCAAAATATGTATGACAATCGTGCTTGGATTTTTCTTTGTTACTTTTTTAAGGAATTAGAGAAGAAAATTGAAAAACTGATCGAAGTATAGTTGGTAGAAAAGATGTAGTCAGCTCGTAAAATTCGTAATAAAAATTAGTCATCGATGGCCATTACAGTCGCCTACTTAGGGTCGTCTTGACCAGACATGAAAATACATGAAATATCTTTTTTGAAATTCCCAACTGCGAGAATCTGGAAATTGTGTGAAATTTCTATATGTATAAAAAAGCGATCAGAATTTTTGGAATTCTCATCATTCGCAATCGAGCATCCATACTTTCGATAGCGAGAAATAATCGCAGTTCTAAGGAAGTGGCATTAAAAATATAATTACACTACTCTGTTATTATTTATATCATTTTGGAAATCTCAGTTTTCCCAGTGCGAACGAGTTTAGGTACCTACATCACTGAAACTTGAAACGGACGAGCAACACCGAGTTTAAAGAGCAAGGCACCAAGTGAGTTTACTTGGCCCGACCCTGACCCGTCTTGAGGACTAAATCCTCCCTGAAATTATTGTTTCGGTAGCTAAGCTGTAATTTTTATGAGGTTGAAATTTACGACCTCACTATGTCTGTTCCAGCGTCTTACATATCCCGAGGGGAACACAAGGCATTGCAGTAGACATTAATTTCTATTAATTAAATATACATATTGTTTAAAACAATCTCCAGCCTCCAGTCACATGTAGCCTTCCACCCCACAAACATAATATTATATGTTCCTACTATAGATTTTCCTATTTTGGTTGACAGATTTACGTCGCATACATGAAACAATTTTGGAATTAAGATTAAGCTTGCCCAAGCGTTTCTATCAATAATTCCTGCAGTGCGTCGATATTCCGTGCGCGTATTTGATATCTACGGGAGGCATGACAGTGCTCGGTGTTTCGTGAAATATTCAAGTTTCATCAACCCTAGTTGTTGGCCTGCTGATATGGCAACGTACGACTATATTCCATATTACTCAGACGACGTCGACCGTATGAAGTAGCTATTATTCAGTATCCGTCGGATGGTAGACCATGAAAAAAAAAGTATGTTCAAATAGAAGCTCTATTTATAATCCGCCTACAAATTAAACAAGCTAGCAAAGGAGAAATAATTAATTCGAAAACATTTCATTCCACATTTAATCCGGTGTTCGAGCACGTCAAGGGTTTAAGCATCGAGTGGTCTTAATTACCTTCAAAATCGAATTAAACTCGTCACGAACACGCTGCAGCCTGTTATCGGTACAGCCTCGTTTTCAATTGCCGACAAAACGTAGTTTCTGGACCATTGCAGGTCGCGATAACTTTCGTGCTCCCTTATCGTCTATGCTAGAGCGATCGCTATACTTATTGCTGCGCTGTCACGTCTGGGGATAAATTCACCGGAAGTGACACTATCGTTGCCAACGCTCGCCACTTTTATTCACAGCGATGCCCGTGGCACACGGAATTGCTCCATAATTCCGTTGAAAATATTAATACTATATTTCCCTTGAAAATGACAGGGACGAGCATTTTTCATACAAGCTTGTCATAATTTTTTGATTTGTCTCAAGAGACCTACTCGACGGTACAATATCGTTAATAGGTAATATCTATGTGTGCCTTATGAAGTCAATGCCGTTCTGTCATGCAAGTATGACGACTCGTACGTCATGTTTGATGGAAAAGTAAGATTGCTTTTAACCACGGTTAAATGTAGCCCTCCACGTTCAAATACGCAGCACGTTATTATGTTAACGCGAGTAATTTCGAACTAGTTACTGAATAAATAGTTTCTGCCTCGTTTGAGAAGGACGGGAATCCCGATACGGGGTTAACTCGA